GCACTGCCAAGGCCACCACTGACCCCCTGTCCCCAAGTGCCACATCCACAGGGCTTGGAAATCCCTTCATGGATGAGGACTCCACCCCTGCAGCCCCTTCCAATGCCTGACAGCCCCTTCCATGAGGGAATTTTCCCTGATATCCAACCTGGACCTCCCCTGGTGCGATTTGGGGCTGTTTCCTCTGGTCCTGTCCCTTGTTCCCTGGGAGAACAGACCCAGACTTGACACAGGTTAAGCTCATGACTGAGGCTTATGCCAAGGTATTTTAGAGTCCATCAAGGCCCTGTTGCTGATAATTATCCATTTGTGCCCAGTAATTTGTCCTCTAGGAAACACCTCTCCCTGTTCCTGGAGCTGCTCAGTGAATCCAGGAATTCCCACTCACCCCTTTTATCTTTCCTCCTTGGCTGCCAGCCTCTTTCCTACCCTCTCCTCTGAAACACATCTGCCAAACCTGATTTTCCTCACCTTTCCTTCACATCGGGAATAAATCCTACCTGTTTCAGGGTAAACCTTCATTAAAAAATTCTGTTCCCACCAGGAAGGCCCTACAACAAGCTTGACTCTTTCCTTCCTGTCCTCCTCGGCGCAAGCAAGCTGATCTGCACTTTGCCAAGCTGCTAGCGACTCATTTGGCTCCACCTTCCCTAAAAAAAGGAGATCCAACAGGAAAAACAGAAAATAGTGCTTTTAAAAACTGACATTTGCAGCCTCTCAGCCTCCTCCCCCCCCGATTTACGATTATTTTCCTCGTGTACAGAACCGCCAGTTCCCGGCGGCTCCGCATCACACCTCCCTGTCCTGAGGCACCCCAAAGCCAGGAGAGCGGGATCCTGACGCCTGCCTTTCCCTCCTGGATGTGTTTCCAACTGTAAACAGCCCTCGCAGAGCCTCGTGGGATCGGGATCCACGCTCCAGGCCTGCCAGGAGGAGGATTCCCCATTTCCCATCTGCGCGGCCGAGGGTGGGGACAGGTTTCCACCTGACAGCTCGCCGGTTCTGCGTGGGAAGCTCGGCAGCCTCAGCCAGGACTGAGGCTTTTCCAGCACTTAAACCTCTTCCCAGCCCCAAGCCACCACCTGGAGCAGCAATTCCGGGCGGGAGGTTCCCCCAAATGCCGCGGGGAGCTCGTTTATCCCGTGCTAACCGGGAAGAGGCGCTCCCGGACTGACGCCTTATTCCCGGGGTTTGCGAAAGCAGGGAGCTGGTTAATCCCCCCCTGCCCACGTCAGAGCCCTAATGCTCTTCCCATCACAAATCCTGGCTCGCCCCCAGCCCTAAGCACGGCCCCCTTGGGGCGTGGGGAGATCTGGGGTTGGATTTTTTGGGTGGATTTTGGGGTGGAGGAGGGCGAGGCTCACAGTGGGCTCCCCATTTGTGCTCCCAGGAGCATCTCCAGCAGCACAGGGAGGGGATACCTCAGGAAAACGGGCTTTGGGGACAGGAAAATGTGCTCTAGGGACCTGTTGCTGCAGGTGAGGCCAAGGGGGACAAACCAGGATCCACTGGATCTCTGGCTGGGCCAAGCTCAGCTCTGTGAAATGAATTCCCTGCTCACGGCCTGATCCCACATCTCCCACTGCTCTTCCCACACCCAGGTTTGAATCCCAGAAGAAGCCTGGGATTCCAAATGCCACCTCCAGAATGCCCCACGCTGCACAAGGCCACAGCAGCCCCAGACTCGTGGGGGCACCGAGGCTGTGGAAGCTCCTTTGCTGGGGCAGGGAATGGCTCTGAGCTCTGCCCCAGCCCTGAGCTCTCCTGTGCAGGCAGCAGCCTCATCAATATTTCAGGAGGCAGCCGGGAAGCCCGTGGCCCTGGCAGCTCTCAGGGCCCATCAGATCAATGTCAAACAAAGGGCTGTGGGGTGAGGACGCTCTGGCCCCGCTCAGGCCCTGCTCCTTCCCCAGCGAGTTTCCTCCTCTGCTCCCAAAGCAGCCCCAGAGCTCAGAGCTTCCCCCTTTTCCACCCAGCTTGAGGAACAAAATCACAGAATCATAGAATCAT